CAATCTGTGGTTTTCTCTTGATCTTGCTAGCTATGTCCTTTGTCATGCAGAAACTGCAGTTTCATGCAATCCCATTTGTCCAACCTTTCTTTGATTTCTTGTGTTTCTGGGTCTCTATTAAGAAAATTTGGGCCTGTGCCAAGGAGACCTAGGGATTCTCCTATTCCATCCTGGAATTTTTCAGAGTGTCTGCTTTGACTCCAAGGTCTGATCCGTTTGGAGTTGATTCTGGTGCAGGGTGATATATAAGGATCTAGCTTTAGTTTTCTACAAGTAATTAACCAGTTTTGCCAGCACCATTTACTGAAGAGGCTGTCTTTCTTCCATTCTATGTTTTTAGATCCCTTATCGAAGATTAGATGGCTATATGTCTGTAGGTTCATTTCTGGGTCTTCAGTTCTATTCTATTGGTCCTGAGGTCTGTTCTTGTGTCAGTACCAAGCTGTTTTGATTACTATGGCTTTGTAGTAGAGTTAGAGATTTGGTATTGATATTCCTCCAGCACTGTTCTTTCTGCTAAGGATCGTTTTTGCTATTTGGGGTGTTTTATTGTTCCATATGAATTTTTGGATTGCTTCTTCTATTTCATTGAATAATGTGGTTGGAATATTGATAGGTATCGTGTGAATTTGTAGATAGCCTTTGGAAATATTGCCATTTTCATGATGTTAATCCTCCCAATCCAGGAGGATGGGAGTTTTTTTCACTTCCTAAGTTCTGCTTTGATTTCCTTTTTTAGGTTTTTAAAGTTTTCATTGTAGAGATCCTTCACTTCTTTAGTTAACTCCTAGTTATTTTATTTTTGGGAGAGTTATTACAAAAGGAGTTGCTGCCCTGATTTCAGCTGTGCTCTTCCCATTGATTTTTGAGGGTTAATTTTATACCCTGTGTAGTACACTTTCAAGTTAAGTCTGATAATGCTTTCAGCTGTTCCTCTTGTTCAAGATTGCTTTAGCAAGAGTTTTTCTGAGGTTCCATATAAGGGTTTTTCTTTTTTTTTATTTGAAGAGTATTTTTTAGAAGATTACTGTGAAAAATATATGTGTATATTTACTTTGAAGAGTAGTTCTTTAAAAATATTTTTTCTCATTCTGAAGAATACCATTGATATTTTGATTGGAATTACTTTGAATATGTAGATTACTTTGAGCAGAATGAATATTTTAATAGTTTTAATTTTTCTAGTCCTTCCATTTTTAGCATTCTTTCAATTTCTTTTATAACTTTTAGTTTTTTTGTAATGATTATCTACATTAAATTTATGCCTAAGTTTTCTTCTTTTTTTTTGCATAAGTTTCACATTATTCATATAGCCTAAAGATAGTTGTGTATGATATTTCTTGCAATTTCACTATGTCCCATGACATGAGGTCATGTGGGGAAATACCCAACTTGGTAATACTCAAGAAGTTCCTGATTTGGTGTCATTTTGAGTTTGGGGTAAGAGATGTTCTAACTAGAGCTTGGCTCTATTCTTAGTATTTTGCAGTCCTATTAAAAACTAGACTCAAGGCTAAATAATTGTGGGCTAAATAATTGTATTAAACAGAGAGAGTACATAATTGAAGTATGGATTGGGCCTAGGAAGAGTTCATGATAAACTGTTTGAGAGGATATAACTTAATTAA